TCAAGACAACAAAGAAGGTCTAAGTTCAAACTGCAATGGATACGTATATTACATCACAATATCTACTGCGTAATACTTTATAGACATGGGATATACCTAGTTTGTACAAAAATATGTATTACCACAGATAACATAAGATGTATTACTTATGCGTAGTTAAAACTAGTATGCAAAATAATAAAAGAATTAGTTGTATATTTTTTTTTCAATTTATGGCTCCGGCGAGTATAGTTATAACTTCATTTTAATTTTCTTGGTATTCTAATTCTATATTTAAAAATTTGTATAAACACAAATAAATAATTCATTCTGTGTCTGTTTGTCAGTTTTTTTTGCTATTGTCTGAAACGGTTGTGCCGATTTTGAAGGGTCAGTCATAATTTAAAAAAATATATTTATTATAATCAAAAATAACGCGCACAAAGTCGCGGACAACAACTAATTTCATATAAAAAGGTAGAGAATCAATGCGTAATCGTCTACTACCCTAAATGGAATCGAATAGCTGTGGGTTGAAATTTGTCTTACATCAAAAAAGTTTGTAGGTCTATGTTAATATAATACTATTATTTCTGATTAAGGAAACACAAAAAAACTAATGTTTTTACAGGAAACACACATTCTTAACTCGTTACAGCGCTACTCGTAACAATAAAAAAGTCGCCAATAAAATTAGTAACACTATTTCCTAATTGGGTTGTTGTTAAGCAAACTATCACTTTGTTAGATATAAGCGTTATGAATGTAACAGCATAACTAACTTTGATTTCATCTAGATTTTTTTTCAAACATCATGCACAGGAATAAATTCGTAAGTGCTAGATTTTTTCATGGCTAATAATGGTATAGTGCACTCGCCTGCGCTAACGTTATACGCTGGCGGTGCACCAGTGGAGGATGATAATATGAGCATGAGGTCAGGTCAGTTAGTCCATCGTGACAAACTCACAAGGAATTTATTACGATGGTTTCCAGGGGGAACCGTGTGGAGGTCAACCTGACATGGTACATTGTTAGTAATGGGGTTATGAGTCCACATTACTAACAATACCCTTCCCCTATGTTCTAGATTATTCCCGCCATTTCACTGCGTACTATTTATTCGTTACACAAAATTCCATCCTTTCATTTCCTACAAATTACATTTTCCTTATAAATAGTAATTACTACAAAACTTCATCATAATCGATTCAGTTGTTTAAGCATGGAAAATATAACAGACACTCCATTTCGTCATTATAATTTTAGTTATCATTACCTAATGAATAAATGACAGGTTGTTTATTATTGTAAACAAGTTGTTTTTATAACAGACCCAAAATAAATGTAACTGTATGTAATATTGGAAATTTTTAGTTCTCTTTTTATAAAAAAAAACATAACATTTCCTTTTTTTATAATGTGATGGTAACTGCAAACGCGCGTCAGTTGTAGTCAGTTAATTCTTAATGGTATGACAAATGAATGGCCTAGATTGACACGTATATTTTACACTGTTTTTTTCTGTGGACTGCACATAAAATAGGGTTGAAGAAGGCACACCAAACCCGTGGACTTATGGATGACTGAATGCCAACTCCTGCTGCTGACTAATCTACTACTATTCTGGAAAACTAAGGCCTTGAGTAAGGTGTTAGTCTGTCTAGAACTGCAGTAAGTAGTCCTACTCTCTTCTCTTCTCTTACAATACATGCTGTGCCCAAAAGGGTCCTTAATTGATCTATTTTAAATTAAATTGCCTACCAAGTTTTTACTTTAAAATTATGGATTACAAAGCTTAAATAAATAAATCAGTTTTCTAATTTATGTTTTCTAAATTGTTAATGCAGTTTGCATTAGCAGGCACACGGAAACACTAGCGATAATGAGTGTCGACATACGTCAGGAAAGAGGTAACCTACACCCGGGTTACATGTCTTGGGAACTGCTCAAAGTTTCCCTCTCAGCCACACGATAGACCCGGTACCTGCGCGGTGAATCCATGGAATGCTAAGAAGTTCGACTCTCATGCATTCATATCAAGCAATTACGCTGCCATATCTTACCCTAAAATCGTGGCACAGAGAGAGAGAGCTTACAGAGATTCAATAACTGCTACTAAAAATGTATTAAATCATAGTTCATCAATATTTACTAAATTCATTCGCAAACAGATATGAACTCAGTAATTAAATTATTTTATGTTGTTTATTTTTTTTTATGTAATAGTATTGACAAATAATCTGACGGCTCACCTAATGATAACTGGTAACATTATGTTATAATGTGACGCTCGTGATACCACTCTTGTATTGTCATTCCAGAAGACTAAGATTGTATTTCATTTATTTCATTCAGACTACAAATGGCCCATATTATACATAAATACCTTATAGACTAACATACGTATGAAATAATAATAAAATATAATTCGTTCTGTTATCCTGTAATTTCAATGCCACACAACTTATAAAACAAACTATTTTGCGGCTGACATAGATGACAGTATACACATAGAAATCTTTTTCAAAAACAACTTCGATTAAAATTTCTCATTTAAAAAATAATTTCAAAAATGGAACTATAACAATAATTATATTTTTATTTAGTTTGTACTCATATGTTTTAGTATAAATTATTAATCACTCACTCACCAGTCATATTTACATAATCTAATTTAGATTTTGTAAATAATTAATTGCTGTTAGATATGCTGTCAGATTAAATAAACAAATTTATATTACAATTTATATTGGAAATGAATATGATTAATTGCAATATGATAAATGATTTGACTGCCAACATGGTTGTAACATACTTTTCGAATATTTTTTTGAATTAGGTGTTATCGGCGGAAGTTCATTTCATTACTTAATAGATTGATTTGTATTATTTTGTTTGATTTCGCTACTAGTGTGAGATCAGACTTTGGGCGAACAGTCAACACTAGGCTTTCAAACGATATCCAAACTCTATTCAATGCCGATGATGCCTCGTTTAGATGCGAAACACGTTTCGCAATATACCTAGATGTAGGTAGATCTAATAACGGTCGGAGTTTGATCACTGGTAGGTAACCAGACGCTTCCAATATCGGTAGTCAAGTATCCGCACTGAATGTTTGTGGTCTCACATAAGTAGCGGGATTAAAAAAAATAATACAAATCCAATGAGTAATAACTTTAGATTATACCTTTTTACCTAAGGTAGGCTTTCTGCTTGGGTAACTCAGTCTCACCTATTTCAGCCACCGAGAAGCTAGATGTGTTTCGGTTGTCGGGTAAGATTAGGTAGTGAAATTACAAGATAAAAAGCATGATATCTTATTTCTACTGAATAGTAAAGTGTCCGTGAGTGAATAGAAGAAAAAGAGAAAGAGGAAGAAAAAAAAGAAATATCTTATGTACCGATGTTTGGTATTTTGGTATTGAAATTGTAGGATAAGAGGTATGATATTTTAGTCCTGTAGAATGGCAACACATTATACCACGAATATCGCATGATAATGTAATATCCGTAGTGAGAATAGTAGTATCGTTTGACTGAACCACACTGAAGGAAGGGAATTGTTAGTAATGTGGACTAATGACCCCATTGTAGCAGTATACCGTGTTAGAAACTCCACGTGATTCCCCCTGGAAATCATCCTGATAAATTCATGGTGAATTTGCCAGGATGGGTATCTGACCTCATTGGTGCACCATTCCATTATAATCCATAAAACCGAACCACACTGGAACTAAACTGTAACTAAGAGAGTTACAGAAGTTACACAGATAAACACATAGATAATAAAACTCCATAAACACAGATAATGAGTGCCTATTACCACAGAATATACAATGGTACTCAATTACATCAGATACACTCCACTCCACTTCACGCGTAGTTAATTTTTTAGCGATTTCAAAAATTAAGAGTTTCCTAAAGCAAATATATGAATGTGTTTATGTGGCGCTAAATTACGACAAATTGTGAACAGTTTTTGATGAAATATCTCTACTACAGCATTGATTCTATGTATTAAAGTATTTTTATCCGTTTGTTTAGTAATTGTGTTTTGGGGTTAGGATGGCGCTGAGTGTATTATCCTGGATGATTATTATCAGTATATTTTTATTTATTTATTTCAGGCTACTAATGGCCCATATTATAAATACCTTATAGACTAACATACATATGTAATAATAATATTAATAAACATAAATAATATATAAATTGTCTGTGTGGTCACGGTATTGACAACGGCAATCTGCCACAGTAGCATTCTTCTTGTATTGTGCTTGAATACGTTTTCTTATTGGATTTCTCTCCTCTTCTCGCATTAATAGTGAAGCCAATATAATTTTTAATGTATAATGAAATCCCTTTTCCATGTGAGTTATATGTAATACATTCGTATTTCTATTACACATTTTGTTAGGTTGGTTAAATAAACGGTCATACAAAAAAAACTGAGAATATTTAATTAAATTATGTCAAATTATTTGTAATGTTTCGTTTGATGGTCTAGGTGATCTAGCGCTTTAGCACATCGCCTCGCTTCCGATGATCGCGGGTTTGATTCTCCCATGGCACGAGTACAAATATGTATTCATGAGTATAACCGAATGTATTATTCTTGTTATTTTCTATGTGTATTATGTATTTAACAAAAAAAATGAATTTAACTATATCTATTAGTTGTCTAGTATCGATAACACAAGCTCTGTTTAGCATGGAACTAGATGGCGCGGTGTGTATATTTTCCAGGGTTTATTATTATTATAATGACTCTGTCTCTCTGATACAGATCTTTAATTAATTAAAAATCTTTGTTAGTAATATGGCGCCGTGTATTTTATCCTAGTTGTTTAAATTATTTCAGTCATTTAAACGAAGTCACAACATTAGTTATTCAAATATATAAACAATATAGGGATGAAATAAACAAAATTATTAAATTAAAACAAACATTTTAATATCACAATTTCACTGGGACACAATAAATGATCACTAGTGACAATAATTACTAACATCAAGTGAGTATTACAAACACACAGACAAAGTCGATCGGCTTGTTACAAGAGCACGGGCCGCTGCTTTCTACGCATGCGCGATCGCCGTAACTATTTCATAATTTTCACATAATCAGATGAACGCTAATATTCCAATAGGGATTACGTATGTCGAGAACACAAGCAAACGAACAATTTCTAGCCTAAATCAGGTACTTAAATGCCGAAATAAGGGCGCCTCTACTGCATATCTAATAATAGTTTTAATAGTAATTTTAGGAACTCATAGAGAGGAACATTTTTGTCAAGATTTTCCATTGTTGGGCATGGGAAATGTAAAAATCGCGTAATATTTATTACGTTTTATGGAATCACTTTAAGGGAAAAATATCCTTTTAATTCCTCTCCATGAGTATCGCTGTATAAAGAACAACAGGCAAGAAACAGATCTTAATTAATTTTGAGGGAAGAGAACCCCTCATTAGGATGCATATAAATTAATCTAATTAGTATCCACCTAGCTTGTAGCTCTCGCCACTATGGCTAGAGAGCAGTTGACCGTGCTCAGGAACATAATGACCATAAGATGGCTGTACTTCGGCATACGCCTTCAGACCTTCGGCTTCGTAACCCTCATAGCCTCCCAATTGTTCGTAACCACCATGTTCTAATCCATGCTCCAAGCCAGCACCATGCTCAAGAGCTTGAGCAAGATGTTCGGTGTCAAGTCTGTGATCTTCTAGAACGAGACCGCCGCCAAGTTTGTGTTCAGTCTCGGGGTGGATCAGCTTCAAGTTCTGCTCAGACTTGCCCTTCTCAAGCGGGTGATCCAGTAAATGCTGGTGCTCCTTCTTGATGTAAACTGGCACAGGGTGGAAGTGCTCGAACTTGATTGATTGATGTGACTTCGCATGCTCGTGTTGGATCTGATGATGGTGTCCTGATTCGCCAATTATAGCATGATGATCCAGTTGAGGTATTTCTTCGTGAATGATGCCAGGGTAGGCGGTGGCCACGGCCAGGAATCCCAGGAAAATCTGACGAAGAAACATAATTATTGTTTATTAGTGAGTATGTACGGATTCTGTTGTAATCCAACCTTATCTGAATGCAATAACGGATACGGTCGCCAATTAGTGGCAAGGGATTCGAGATTATTGTGATATGGACTTAGTGTTGTTACGAAACGGTCTTGCTGAAAGCAATGATACAAGGAACATTGCATTTAGGGCTTACGTAACGTGAAAGTCTTCCTATAAATCTAATCATGCCGATGGCGAACAGGAAGACGCTTATTTTAATATTACTTCACTGAATTAATACATAGTAGACTTAAGGGATAACTTAATAATAACTTTGATATTATATCATCTTATTCAATAAAAAATTAAACTTTCTTAATTATGAAACGATTATTTTTCTCATAAATTAATCACTGCTGTTTTAATCTAATTAGAATAGAAATGTAATCTTATTGTAACAGATCTTAAGGTCTACATTTCACAAGTCCTCTTTGCACGGTCACTAGCACTGTGATCTGTGATGCACAAACACAACAACACGAGTACGCACGTGGTATTTCATTGCTGGCTGCTTGCTGCAATTGCTCACTGCTCGAGAGGGTGGCAGGTTATGCTGGCAATCGTAATTTGCATCGCTTATATACTCAGTTTCACTTGCACCGGCCATGTGTGGGTGCTCTATTTATTACGTGTACATTCATTCGCATTGACAGTCTATCGGCATCTTAGAACAATAGGTAGAAATTTGTTGGGAGATACAAATAAAAAAGCTTAAATCTGGATAGATTTTACTATAATTATCACGTAACCTTTGTAATCGTAATTGTTCGGTAATCGATAGAATCAGTCATTTGCATGTAACTATAATTACATTTACATAATTTATGTAAATTAGATTGAAAGTATACTAAATTGGAAGAGTTAAGTAGGATTGAGAGGAATTGATATATTTCATTATCGAATGCTAAACAAATACATATTATATAGTTATAGTCTACTTAAGAAATCAATGCAATCTTGGATCGATAATCCAAAAATAGCAATTGCATTTCAGATCCGTAATATAACTGTAATCTTTATATAACTGGACTGCCAAAAACAAGCTGACTACTCTCCTCATATAAGTATAGTACCAACCCTCGTTTATGGATAAGAATGGCACTATTTTCAATATATCGGAACGAAGCCGTTGTATCAGTGCCTTTTCGCAGGACTAAGTTGAACTCTGCAATATCACAGCTTTATATAATCGGCAAAATATATCACAATTAAAATTGGAACACAGCTTTTATTATCGGTAGAAAAATGTTAGTCATGCAAATAACTTTGATAAAAAAGCGTACCTCGGTGAAGATCCAATAACAAGATGCAATAATAACAAGGATCTCATGAAGTAATGCTAAGCATACGATTCTAAAACGATTCAATTCATTTTAATCTCATTTATATTCTGCGGCGTTCTTAGAATCGCTCATTCGTAAATTGTCCTATTGTCCCATCATTCTTTACTTTCACAATACATTCTACATACATTTTGCATACCTTAGATTTGCGGAATAACACGAAAAATAACAATAGACAATACAAAAAATAATATTCTCTACATAAAAATACTGAAATCATAATCACGTAAATAGGAGTTTTATTTATTGCCACCGGCATTATCAAAATAGTTTCAAAATATCAGGATCTTTATGAAATAATCGTAGTAACTTATGCATACTAATGTCTTAGAAAGAGTAAACCCCTATTGGTCCTTTGGTCTTATGCCTGTATATTCAAATCAAACCAAAAATGATTTATTCAAGGAGGACATATTAGTTGTTTATGAAAGTATTTTTTTATAATAATATTTTTTCCTTACTTCACGTCCAGTTCAATATACAGATTCAATCGAGAAGAACTGGCAAGAAACTTAACTGATTTTAATTCATGACTACAATGACTAAAGAAGAGTATTTATTTGAACTACAGCAGTTCGTTTAATAATTAGTTTTATCGTAAAGTGATGAATAAAAAAAATACAGTACATAATAAAGAATTTTTTTATATGCTATCCTTTATGCTTTCACAAAGTACAAACATACAACAACGTTTAATGCAATCAATAATCTTATTAGGTTTAAAAAAAGTTGACTTCCTTCCAATTATTGTACCCCGGTAAAGCCAGTACCAAATAAATATTGTTGGTATGTAAGCATATTGAGAAAGAATCTCTCTTTTATGGTGCAATATTGTATAAAATAACCACGCTTACTTTCCTTAACACTATAGATAATACCAGATCAACTATAATTGATAAAATTAAATAATAAAACACGGACATGAAGACTGAATACTGCAATAAAGATCCCATATTATTGCCTTGAGTGTAATCGGAGAAAGAGTAATCAACGGCTGCTGGGATTGCATAATGTACGTATTAATTTTTTACTGCTGTCTCCATCGAGCCATTTTGTTATACCTAAATGAGTTTTTTTTATTATGATTGTATTAAACCTCATTACTAGCGTCTGATAAATATAGAATTACTGACTACTGACTACTATTTCAACTGCTAAGTAGCTTTATATTCAAGTAACTATTCGTCCCGGAGTCATACGGGTGTACTCCATCTATTGCAAAAAACTATATTAAAATACGTTGCGTAGGTTGAAAGATCTAGGCGAATAACCAGCGGAAGCGACTTTATTTTACACTATGAAAAGAATCTGTTCTTTTTGTTGTAGGGTGAGATTAGGCAGTGAAATCCAGGATATGAGGTATGACATCTTAATCTTACAGAATGGCAACGCATGAGTGATACCGGTGTCTCATTATGACGACATATCCATATTGTTTTTTTTTTAAATATTACTACCTTATTTGGATCAATATTTATATTAAGTATCTTATTTAAAACTTATCAATCAATACGTATTTATTACGGATGATAAGTAAATGTAATAATAAAAGTAAATATAGAATAAGACAATATTTAGTAATGGGAAATGACTGGTGTTACTTTATATTAATAACATATTAATTAAAACCTACACTGTACTGTACCATACATTGCGTATACTTAATTTATTTTATTTTTAATATATATATATGGATTTTATATTTACATATTCTTATGCTCCTGCTGCGATTTGTTACAGCAGTATCTTTACCAACTATATACGTGTTTGATTCTCATTACGTCAGTTTGCAAAAATAAACTGGGTGTTTCAACGTCTCTACCAGTTCTGAATCAGTCAACCTTTAAGACGAATGGTAGAGAACTAGTAGAGAATGCAGTACTTAATAAACTATATAAATGTATATTATAACTATTAAAAATAGACAATTTTACAACCCAGAAGTTATAATTACATATGTACAATCAGGTATAATACATCTAATGTGATGTAACTTATTGACATAATTAGTTTTATAAAGCGAATAAACGCTATTGTAGCGTAACCCGACACTTAAATCACCCACAACAGCGTATAAAGAGAAAAGATCAGACTAAAAACATACAAGTATAAGCTTCTTATCTACTTAATTAATTAACAACAATATTACTTTAAAAAGTAGCATTCAAGTTTCTTGATCGTTCTTCTTCTGATGAATCTGCTTTCCGAATAAGCGGTTGAATAAAAAACATAGTGCTTATATTAAGTTTGTTTGAATAAAGATTACTTCTCTTTTAGGTCTTTTACATATTAAAAGAATGACGCTTCTATTATGATGTATTAATAATATATTTATACCCCCCCTTACAAGTAATAACTAAAATCTATGACAAAACAGTGCGTTTTGTCACTTTCTTTCAAGTGAAGATCGTAGGAAAGGAACTAAATCACGATTATAAGACGTTTGGCATATTTGCAGAGAACGGAGAAAGTTTATTAATTTCTATGTAATTAGTCCATTTAGTTTTTTAAAACCTAATTTACTTTGGCTAATATCTAAGTTAAGAACTCGTTTATTACCTATTGTATTGCAGCCGAGTTTGACACAAAAAAAAATGCATTTTATATGCGATACTTAGGTTAGTTGTGGTGATAAAATCTTTGCTTCGTTACGTCGTTACGGGTTGTTGATTGCCGATTTGCAACATGCAAATCAGTAATAAACTACATCGACTATCCAAGCGAATTATTTAATTATGCATAGTAAGTGTAGATAAACTTGCTCTTCATTTTTTAATAGAAGTTTGACGGCCTCGGTGATCTAGCAGTTATGCACACCGTCTTACTTCCGATGGTAGCAAGTCCGATTGTACGGTACAAATATTTGTATTCTTAAGTATGATTGTTTGTATCGGTCTGGGTGGTATGCATTTTTGAACATACATAATATACATGTGAAAACATGTATATTATGTATGTTCAAAAATGTATATAAGTATTTATGTCAGTTAGTTAGTAACCATAACATATGTTCTGTTTATCTTGGGACTCAGTGGCGCTATGTGACTTGTCCAGGTATGCTTGTATCTTGTATGTAATAAATATATGAGCTTATATAAAAATAATCAAGTCATTGCTAGCTGAACTGTGTCCAAGTTAAATATTTATTAGCTTGTTATTGAATATTTAAGACGATGTGGTGAATAATACAAATATAATAAAATAAATACCGCATATTTAATGGTGATAAAGTTTTAAAAAAAAATAACTATAGTATAGTTTAAACAATGATTTAAACGTTAAATTTTTCATGTCTTTGTCAGTGTTCTAACATTAGGTATAAAATCTTTTAATCTAATTGCTATACCATATCATATCTTATGACTCTCAATATACCTCTGCCGAGTACGAATTCATTATTAGCGTATTATATGATACGTACTTATAATAATATCTTGACTTTCAAAGTTAATATTCACACAAAAGCAGACCAAGGACGTTGATTGTTTTACTTTCTTACGACACTGTCAGTGTATTAATGACAAAAATCCAATTAGGCGCCTATTATTTTATGTAACAATTTCAATAAAATGATAATTATAATGATAAAAATTTCTACCAAAATATATGCCGCAAAAGGTTTTAAGTTTATAAAATGTATTGGTGATGGTATTTCCGAACTGATATGATGTTAAAACCTCCAAGAAAAGATTATTCCTTCTTAAAAGACCAGCATCTCACTAGCAATTCCCCTGGTATTGCGGATGATCCCATTGCTAGCAATGCACCATGTCAGATCGACCTCCACGCGATTCCCCCTGGAAACCATTGTGATACATTCCCGGTGTATTTATCACGTTGGGCTAACTGATCTGACATATCATGCTCATCTTATCATCCTCCACTGGTGCCCCGCCAGCGTAAACCGGCGGTGCACCATTCCATTATCATCCTTTAAAAAAAAATGCGTCTATTAGGGGGGAAAGGGGATTGTTAGTAATGAGGATTAATGATCTTATTACTAGGAATGTACCATGTCACTTTGACCTCCACGTGATTTCCCTTAGAAACCGCCGTGATAAATTATTTGTGAATTTGTCACGATGGGCTAACTTACCTGCCCTCATGCTCATCTTATCATCCTCCACTGGTGCCCCGCCAGCGTAAGTCGTTAGCGCATGCGGGTACATCATTCCATTATCATACATAAAAAA